TTATATTTTGGATGTAATTCAAGAAAGTAACATGTAGGTATCTTTTCTGAATACTGGAACAGTATATAGAGTAGTGCCATTTATAAAGTATTAAGAAAGTCATCCTGCTTTCATTCTCTGTACATGGAACAGTTAATGTACAGAGAGATGCAAATAATCCTTCTGAAACAAAGGTATGTGTAATCATGTAATTGAAAACTATAAGCAATGGAGAGTACAGAGCAGTAATTGGAATTTCTTTTTTTTTTCAAACTCTTTTTTCAACCTTAGAATTTTTCTTTATAGATTTTATATATATATATAGATTTTTTTTTTTTAAATTGATTCTCTAACACTATTTGAAAGAAGCTTGTGAAATAGCATTTTGTTTTTGTTTTATTCCTGGCTAATGCATGGAACACAAAACTCTAGAGATTTTTGCTCCATTTTCTTCCAGTCCATCCAATTTTGAATATGACACAAAATTATAATTCTTTTTTCTTGAAAATAAACATTTCCTGGTTATGTAGGAGCACCTACACGTTTGTTGTGATCTGGAATTCTAGATCTTTTTTTTTTTTTTTTTTTTTTTTATGTGCATTGCAGCTGGAGTCATTAAGAACACAAATTCAATTATGTTACATGTTCCTTAGTTATATGTTGCTGCTATACAGAGCTAGCAGTTGGAACCCAAATGGTTTTGTTCATGTTGTTTATGGTGTCAGAATAGTGGCCACTGTAATCTTTTGCCTTCTATAATTCATTGATAATACAGGAATTAAACCGAAACCAAATATATCTTATTCAGGAAAATTTAAGTAAAATTCTGAACTTTCATATCTTCTGCATTAAAAACAACCTAGGACAGTAGGAAGCTAAGTCTTCATATTTTTTAGGAGAGAGATGGAAGGCATCTAATTTATGGCTAGGGACTGCTTTGAAATAATTGAATATGGCTTTTTGTTGGAGTTATGCACATTGTTGACAAATCATAATTTCATTTTAACATCATTATGGGAAAGAAGTGCTAGAGAATAAAACCATATTCTTTCTGGAAGTCTGTATAGAGTATTTTCATGTATCAGTATGTGTATATGTCTGCACATACAACCATACACAATTGCACACTCATGTTGCCAGTATTCAGTAAATAATTAAGAAATAATGGTTATTTAAACCTAGACAATATGCATATATTTCTCTTTCTTCAATTCAAATCAACAGGCTTGTAAAAATTCAGGAACATAGATAAATGTGTTGTCTTTCTTTATGATCTCTCCCAAAGGTAGGTGATCTGCAGTCAGCTTCTAAGACACTTTGACAAGCTGTAATTCTGAATAATCTTTTTCCTTCACTTTTATTTGAAATGCCTCCATGCCTCTTTTGATCTTTCTTCAGCTGCCAAATGAGAACTTCTTAGTACAGCTAAAAAGGTAGCTGGAGAGCTTAGGCCATAGCTGTGAGCCAGGGACAGTGTTATGACAGCCAAACTCCCCCACTGGTTGACCCCTCTTTTTGGACATTAAATGGCGTAAGGCTTGTGTGCCAAGTGAGACTCAAAGTAAAACTAACCCACCAGTCTTGGGGGAAATACAGAAAGGAAAGTACAGTTCTTCTCTCCTATTGCTCCCTCGAGACTGTAATGAACTGTTGACTTGAGCTGATTGTAAAAATGTAATAGTTCTCATGGGATGGGAAACCAAAAGCTTTAGAAATCTATTGAAGTAGCTTTATAAATAAGACGTATCACTGACAGAATGACTATTAAATCCTGTATTAATCTAGTTTGAGCTGGAAGTTTCCAGAAGGTTGAGCATTCTCTGTGTGAAACTGGGAGGTCATACAGCTAATAATGTGCTCTGTGATTTCTGAAAACTGAGAGATTTCCCAAAATTAAATGGGGTCAAAAGGTATACTGTGTGACAGATGGAGCAATTACATATAAAATGCAAAGAAATGGCATCAGCTCAAGCAGTATTTGATAATTTTTTGTTGCCATTAGAGGCTTCAGAATTGATACCTAAGATGCAAACACTGGTAAACTGCATGCATGGGACCTGACTACATTACATATATATGATATATATTATCTGATTGGAGGAAGATATAGCATAAATTGTGAATACATCTGAGAAGAATTGCAATCCCAGGAAATCTGTTCCTGGATGAGATTTTTATTCATTATCAAAGGAAATGTGAGCCAGAGGATGTGCTTACAGTGGAGTGATATCCTAATTTGTGATAGAGGTATGCATGGCATCGAGAACAAATCTGGGAATACAAAGTGAATTTACATCCACATATAAATGAATTCAATTATTTTTTTTAAAGTTAATTAGCAGATGGGTCAGTGTTTCAGAATGAAAAACTTTTTAAAGAGAAACGCTTACTGAATTAAAGTTTACGACTGCATTACCCATAGAACTTCTTAGGGAGGAAAAAAGTGACCCATATGAAACTGCTTTGTTATGGCTATGTTGACTGGCACTAGTTTAGAACTGGCTCACATATGCTTACATTATTCTTCATCCCTACTATCACACTATATATATAAATGTAAAAAAAAAAAAAAATCCTTTACAAAAGAGTTTTGACACAGTTCAGTAAGGAATTACATCATGTCTTTCTCACTTAGCAATTAATAGAATTGTAGGACAAATGAAAAGATGTCACCTGGCATTTAATATATACATTATTTAGTCACATTCAGAAAAAAAATGGTTAGAGTGGTGGTCATTTTATTTGTTTAGTAGCAATATTTAGTTTCTAAACTAAATTAGAAATGAAGTTTCCTATTCGTGTTTCACTCTTTATCAAGTAACCTTTTGCATTACAGAGGGCTACTTGCTGTAGGAGTAAGCATAGTGTAATGAAATACTGAGTACAAGGATAGCTTAGTGTCATTATTTTTAGTCAGAAAACAGAAGTATTGCCCAAGGAGAGGGGTGGGGAAAGCTATGTTTATTTCCTCTTGCTCCCATAAACACATGCTATAGCATGTATGGATGTGTGGGTGTGTCTCTGTGTGTGTGTGTGTGTGTGTGCGCGCGCACGTGCATGTATACACCTCAAAAGTATTTTGAGAAAGCATACTGAATACAAATTAAAATGCATTATTTAATAAATCTTCTAATAAATAAGTGCAAGTTCTTTATCATGGTAAGTAATTGTATTCAGTTAATTTCTACATTTTTTCTAAAGAGCACAAAATGTGGTATAATATGAACCAAAGCTACTGTTGGACCAGTTTTATGTCTGGAATTGACTCAACTCTGTTTCACCTTTATTTAGAGCCTGTTGTTTTAAATGTCTTTTTGCTCATATAGGAAGCAAGATTAAATTTTAAGGAGCTCTGTATGGCTTGTCTGGGTCCATTCAAGTTGTGTAAGACTCTGATAATTTTATTTATAGTGGTTCCATCTAAAATTTAGGTTGTGGCTAATTCTTAATAAATCCTGATGAGAATGAATAAAATATTCAGTCATTGAAGACAGTGACTGAAGGCATTAGTACTTCAAGGTTACAGAACAGAATGAAATCAATTGCATTTCTTATGTAGAAACCATAATTTGATAAGTTTTTAATAAACTTTTTTGTTTATATTGTTCTTTTTTGATAGCACATTAATTTTGTTTTTGGAGAAATCACTTTTAACTGAAGTAACTGCATTATCACAGAATATGATACATTTTTTCAAATATTTTCAATTTGTTCTTCTTGGCATTTTATGTTTATGCACAGTTTGCATCTTTTTTTTGTTTTTCAATTTCAAATGTAACAGATTTTGACATTTTGTTACATTTTTCTTTTTTCTTTTTGGTACTAGTGTTCTTTTTATTTTTGAGAACCTGCTGGTTTTGAATTCTCTTTTTTCCCTTTATTCTCCTTCTTACTATGATCCCAGGAGCCAACACAAAGAAAAGCGCAGATGATATAACCAGTAATGATCGTGGTGAAGATGAAGGTATTTTTTGTTTTTTCAAAGCTCGACCCTGATGCATGAACATAAACTTTTTAATTTTTATTATAATCATAATTGTTATTGTTATTGCTGTTATTTGAACATGATTTTTAGTCCCTTATTTGTAGAAGCACACTTCAGTGTGCTTCTTTATTTTCTTCTTTAGAGATTACTTTCATTGGTTTTCTTTTTAAAATCTGAATTAGCATATAGATGACTGCAGTTCCCCTGTGACATAGGTGTAAAGGTGATTCCTAAATATGTGTGAAGTGAGTACCATAACTATTATTTGAAAGCACATACTTTTCCTCCTCTATTCTTTCTTAGGTTGAGAAAATGGAATTTAAAAGCATGCATGTGCTCTTTTCCCTCCTACACATTTTGTAAATTCACCTGTTTGAAATTCATGAAAGAACTGACATATATCCTTCCTTTCACTTCCACTGTTTCCCCAGTGCACATGCTGTACGTTGATGCAGTTGAATTGTGCTTTGTCTTTGCTATTTTTATTTATTTATTTATTTTTTTCTCACAGGATGTGGTTTATTTCAGGACACAAACATAAAGGAAGCTGTTGATGTTTCTTTATGGTTTTTTCCTGTAATCAGCTAGCCTCTGAGATACATTCATTCTGACTCTGACCGCATTCCCACTGAAATCAATGACAATCATTTTCATTGACTTCTTTCAGAGTTGGATTGGATTCCCTGAAAGGAAATGTTAAAGTTCACAGTGAAGTACTTTGAAAAAGTTTTATGAAGAAATACATTTCTCTTGCCTTGGCACAGCAAAGCTATTTAGGACTCACCAAAATAAATAAATAAAATAAATAAATAAATAAATAAGTCTTCCTCTATTCTCACCCTTCCTTTTCATTAAAGTTACACTGACAGTTTATTTTACTTTATATATTTACCAAATTAAGAAAAACATTTTCAAATTAATTTAGAAGATAACAGCGTTGGGGAGTTTATTGTTCTGTTTTGGAGCAATGTGTTTCTTAATCCTCTCATGCTTGGCCAGTCCCAAGTGTTATTCCATGTATTTTTTCCTGTTTTCTTCTATCTGACATCAGTTTAAATAAGTTTGATACGTTTCTCCTCTCCGTTCCCCTTAGAATTGCACATACAGCAGTGAGGACACTGTCTCCTCATTTTCTGGGAGTTCAGATCAACTGTAGCTACTCTATCCATACATAAAATACTGCAATAAAACTCTTTGATTCACACTGGTTGTCCTGTACTGTACCACCTTCATTGCTGAATTACACTGTTTCTTATAACACATGCTTATATAATGCTGTGCAGAACACCTCAAAATTACTGTTATTTTCTGAATATCACCTTCCTATTTCTGTGTAACATGTTTTTTTTTTAAAAATATGGTATCATCATTTGCTATACCAAATGCTGTAGTTAATTTTAAAGCAAAAGATAACTAATAAGCAAAATAAAAATTACTTTAAAAACCCAAGATAGATATTGGATTATGAATACATTATTTTTTAGAGTTATTAAAAATATAAAATGTTAATGTTTCATGATTAACAAGGGCATCGACTTCAGGTATAAGCACATAAAGCATGGAGCTCATTTTCTTTATGTCTAAGCTAATCATGTTCCCATTGAAGGGCAAGAGGAAACTGCCCATTGACTTCAGCAGTGAAAGATTCAGCCCTGAGGTAGAACTATGTAGTAATGAAAGAATAAATACAAGAAATCATGCCATGAGACTTTGGAAAGGGAAGGGAAGGGAAAGGTAATTCAGTAAATGAGATAGTGGTGTTAAATAATTGTTGTTTTAATTTTTTGGGGGCTTAGCTGAGGCTTCACAGAAGAAACACTTTCATTTACTTTGCTGAAAATGCTGAGAAGAAAAATTAATACATCCATTAGAATGTCCTTCATTACTTTATATGGTCTGTTTAATAGCTGCATTATTCGTAGTCACAACAGTTAAAAAGGTCTCACCACAAAACCTTTTGTTCTGCTGCTCAAGTACAACACATAAAATACAACATGTAAAGTATTTGTCTGTCTATGTAAAGAGGTGGATTCTATGAGAAGCCTTAAACTCTGACAACTACACAGGTGTACACTGGAGCCTGAACATATGTACTTTATGCTCAGCTGACAATTTTTGATATTTAAGGTAGTGCAAACACATGAGTAAAGTAAAAGTGAGCTATAGAAATATGACCAGTCATAATTTCCCTTTAAATATGCTCAAATTAGTTCCACATATAAAAAATATTATATATGTGGTGTCTCACTGATTAGAGTATTTCCTAACAAACCAGAGTGTGGTGGTTTTAACTCTTTCAGCAGCCAAACACCAAACCTTCTTGTTCACTCTTGCCTGCCTGTGAAATGGGGGAGAGAATCAGAAGGGTAAAAGTGAGAGAACTCATGGGTTGAGATAAAAACAATTTAATAATTGAAGTAAAATTGAAATCAAAATAATAATGATAATAACAGTAATAATGGAATATACAAATGAGTGATACATAGTGCAATTGCTCACCACCCACTGACCGATGCCCAGCCCGGTCCCTAGCTAGTGATATCAGAGCAGAGACAATCCCAAAAACAAAACCGCAATCCCAGAAGAAAGAGAGAGCCTGAGTGATCCCCCAGATAGGGTCAACCTTCATTAATATACTGAACATGGCATTATATGATATGGAATATCTCACTGGCATAACCAAATGCCAGTTTGGGTTTGCTAATTTACTACACTCCCCCCAGTTTTCCTCTCCACCTGCAGACTAGCAAAACATGGGAAGTTGGAATGTCTTTGTTTTCATTTAGCAACAATTAAAAACATCAGTATATTATCAACATTCTTCTCATAACAAATCCAGTACTGAAATCAAAACTCAGCACTATTCTTGCTACTAAGAAGAAAATTGACTCTATCCTAGGGAAACCAGGACAGTGAAGAAAGGGAAGAGTTTTGGAAAGCTTTCAAACCTAGGTCACCTACCTCTAGATATTTAGCTCACCTTTTTCTTCCTCCATTTCTCTTTTCCACTGTTCAATGTATGTCTATCCTACCCAAAAGCGAAGACAGGTTTTGTTTTTTGTTTGTTTGGTTTTTTTTTTGTTTTTTTTTTTTTATAAATTATTGAATAGTCAGAAACTCTGCTTTCCCTTGTATGTTGTATTATATGATGGAAAGAAGAACTCCTATTGCACATGCAGATACACTGAATTATTTGTAAAAGATGTATATATCTAGTGGCAACTCACTGAATTGCCCTCTGCTTTTTAGAAGAGCTTAGCCTCTGTTCCTGCTGTTTCTGTAGAGAACACAAGTTCCTAATTTAGGTAGTCTGAATCGACCCTGTGGTCAGGAGCCTAACTTTTTAGAGGAAGAGATATGAACCTAGTCCTAAATATAACCCAAATCACTAATTAGTGCATCTTTATAACTTAGTCTGAAGTATTAAAGTATTACTATCAATTTAATTTGATTTTCTGTTAGAAATAAAGACCTAGCTGTTTATCTGTTTGAAAGTAGTCAATAGCTTTTCTGCATATCCAAAAGATCAGCTATACCATTAAGGAGCATTAATTCAAGGCTGTCCTTTAAGGCTTAGCTACCATGCCAAGGAAAAGTACAACACAAAAGACATAGTTTGCTTTAATGACAAAACATCTGGGCCATGAATTCACAAAAACTCTTTTTGTTTGTTAACACCTAGGTTATGTGAAAGAAGGAACAGTTTACTATGTTTGCTTCTATCAGAACAATTAGATTTTGTGATATTCTCTCTTACTGATCTATTGGGAATGTAATTTCAACAATTACATCTCAGTGAGGAATGGGAATGTATGGGTCACTATTGTAATTTCATTATTAATTGTACAGATATTTCTAAATTGGCATTTACTTGAATCAAAATATTCTAAAAAAAGACAATATTATTCCATAATTTAATTTTCCTCAATAGGTTTTTAAGATATTTATATTAAAATTAAATCCCTTGTAATATTGGAGGCATTTCAAGTGTTCTGAGAACATTTCAGAGGAAATAGAATTTGAAAGCGCCAAGACAGATATTCGGACTATAACTATTAGGTTTGTAGGATGATCCTGAACTATGTAAGCCAAGTTGTGGTGATAACATTGAAAACATAGGAAATAATTAAGAATATTTTTAGTACTGTTATAAATTGCTAATGCCATATTTCCTTATTTGTTATTACTTTATTATGTTTTCCTTACTTGAATTTTTTCAGACATTCATGATCAGAACAGCAAGAAACCCGTTATGGTCTACATCCATGGTGGATCTTACATGGAGGGTACTGGCAATATGATTGATGGCAGCATTCTCGCAAGTTATGGAAATGTCATTGTTGTCACTCTCAATTACAGGCTGGGGGTCTTAGGTAAGTGACTCTTCATCACCAATTGCAGAGAAATATTTCATTGCTTAATTTATCTATTGATCGATTATAGATTGTTGGGCCAGTTTTGTTTTTAAACAGAACATTCTTGCTGGTGGATAGTTTGACTGTATTATAGTAATTTTTAATTCTGATCAGTATTTCACGGAAATTGGACTGTGCTGCATGTCTCCTTCTTTTTAACAGCTACCTTCACCTTAGACAAAAATGACTGGATATTTATAATAATGTTAGTGGTGGTTTACGTTAAATTTGTTGCAATATCATATTTGTTCTTGGCTTAGTCATTTAACAAGTTATGAGAACTTGTATCTTGTTCTCATAAAAATCTTCTGGATTCCATGGCAAAAAAAAAAACAAAAACAAAACAAAAAACAAACGGAAGAAGAAAAATAATCAAGAATTAGTACTTTCCAGTTTCAAAACAGTTGGTAATGGTAGGAAGAGGGAAAAAGTTACTATTTATCTGTATTTATTATTTTTTTGTGCAAATTGGTTTTTAGGGCAGAAGATATAAAGGTAATACAGACAAAACAGGCTATATACACTGATGGAATTTATGTTGCAGGTAATACGGAGTCAAAGGATGTAAAAATATCTTCGCAAATACAAGGAACTCCATAATAATTAATTATTATATTGAAACAAATTAATGCTTCTGTCTTTCAAGCAGAACAAGAGCTGCATCTTTTTGACATTATAAGTATTCTTCCATCAGCATTAGATTGAATAACAAAATAACCTTAGATCTGTGACAACTGAACAAAAATCTTTTCTGCCTTCCCTGTGAGTCTGACACCCAGATGTTTGCATGTACCAGGTTTTTCTCCAAATGGAAGCTTATTTATTGAAGTTCTACTTTTCCATAGAAAATTAAGCTAAAAATGTACTGGCAATAGAAGACATTAGAAACATTTTTTATCTTATTCAAAGAGCATACATTCTGTATTGAATAGCATATAGACTGCTAGAACGCTCATTTCCACCATTTTAGATACACAAGGTATAGTAATATTGTGGTAGGAGTTTTTTAATTTAAAATGGCTTTTACAAAGATTTTTAATCTTGTTTTTCTTGATAGCAAATCTAATCTCTATTCTTGACATGTACTATTTGGGAACACAGGAACTTCTTTTGCTGAGTTATCTATTAATGTGGTTAATGTGTTTCAACAATGCTCTAGCTCATTACTGTACCGAGAAATTATTTTCTTGTCCCTGATTTTAACTCTTCTTTAAATACAAAAGAGCATTTTTTTCTATGTTAGAGTTAGATTTAAAGATAAAGTCAGGAATATAAAAAAGATACTTTGCTGTATTTATACATGCAATCTTGATACTCAGAAACACGCTCAAAAATATAATAAAAAAAAAAAAGAAAAAACAATTAAAAACATGAGTGAAGAACTCAAGACTCTTAAAAAGATTGTTGTTATTGTTGTTGTCAAATAAAGTGTATGCCCTGGAACTTGGTGATAGTTATTTATCTGTAAAAAAGGCTTTTTAATGGATTTCTTAAAAGGTTTTCTCTTGGTTTCTTAAAAGTAAAATTGTTGAAGGATAGAGATGATTATAAGTGGTTTAAAATGGTTCTTTGTCCTGCAGCCTCATATCAATCTAAAGGAAAAAAAAATGCAATATTTGCCTTGATGAATTCCTATATTATGCATTTATATTGAAAACAAACTAAAAGGAATGTTATAATTTTATCTTGTGGCATTTAGGAAAAGAAGCACAATACAGAGGCATTCATATAAGACACTGAAAAGCAATAGCTGATTATTTTAAATGGATTAGGAAAAATACAGTGCTATATTTGGCATTAAATAATACTTCTCGACAGTGGTAAATGTAACTTCTGAAACGCTATGGAATTTTTTCTTTGTTATAGAAGGTCTATGTTTAAATTAGAAAAAAATAAGATACTCAGAACATGCATTTAGCACTCTGGAAAAAAAAAACCCAAACAAACAGTGGAACTGTGTTTTATTCTGTTTTTTCTTCCTCAGTGAAACGTAAGTATGATCCTTCAGAATGCATTAGGTTCTGCCTAAACATTGGAAGATGTTAGGTGAATTCCATGTATTTTCGACTTGCTTAATGAGTAAAAAAAATAAAGAGAAAATACACTTTTATTCAGGTAAACAACCATATGGAAAACAAACATGATTATTCATAAAAGTTAAAAAAGTAGTATTATTATGACATAAAATGTGAAGATTGACTATATTTGTGTCCATTTCTTCTAGTCTGGATTATCTTCTTTTTGAAAGTTATACTTATTTCTGTAAATCTGGTGTGTTTCAGTTACATTTGATTTCTAAGTTTGTATATAAGAAACATATATAAACCTGAATTTAATGATAGAGATGTGTAATTCTGTCACTATTATCAGAGCCTGTGATGGAGGAATATGCATTGAATTAATCACAATGCTGAGTTACTGAAAACCTTTTATATTTTTTTTTCTTTCTTTCTTTCTTTGGAAAATTGTAACTTGAATGGGCCTGAATACAAGATGTTATTGTACTTAGCATAAATGTTAGTTCTTTTCTTGAGGCACATTAAATTATTTTCCTTTCAGTCTATATTGTGTCATTAAAAGCAGTAGATAGAACATCTGTTAGGACTATATAGATAATCACTGGATGATATAAGCCAGACAAGTCATAGAAACTTAGAATGCTTTCGGTTGGAAGGAACCTTCTTTCTTGTTCTGTGGATTAACCACTTGGATACAGGACTTGAAGGGCTGCTAGCTAAGTTTGCTGATGACACCAAATTGGACGGAGTTGTGGACACTCTCGAGAGCAGAAAGACCCTAAAGAGAGATCTAGATAAATTAGAGAGCTGGGCAATCACCAACTGTATGAATTTTAACAAGGGCAAGAGCCAGATTTTGCACCTGGGGCATGACATCCCTGGACACATGTACAGACTGGGGAATGAGAGGCTGTAGAGCAGCCTGGCAGAGAGGGACCTGGGCATTCTGGTCAGAAGCAAGTTGAACATGAGCCAACAGTGTGCCTTGGCAGCCAAGAGGGCCAACTGTGTCCTGGGTTGCATCAAGCACTGCATTGTGAGCTGGTCGAGGGAGGTGACGTCCTGTTCTACTCTGCACTGGTGCAGCCTCACCTCAAATACTGTGTGCAGTTTTGGGTGCCACAATATAAAAAGGATATAAAGCTACTGGAGAGTGTCCAGAGGAGGGCCATGAAATTGGTGAAGGGCTTAGAGGGGAAGCCATATGAGGAGAAGCTGAAGTTGTTTGGTTTGTTCAACCTGGAGAAGAGGAGACTGAGAGGAGACCTCATTGTGGTCTATAACTTCCTCACAAGGGGAAGAGGAGAGGCAGGTGTTGATCTCCCTGGCAACCAATGATAGAACCAGAGGAAATGTCAGGAAGATGTGCCAGGGGAGGTTTAGTTTGGACATTAGGAAAAGGTTCTTTACCCAGAGGGTGGTGGAGCACTGGAATAGGCTCTCCAGGGAGGTGCTCATGACACCAAGCCTGACAATATTCAAGAAGCATTTGGACAACGCCCGCAGACACATGGTCTGAATCTTGCGACTGTTTTATGCAGGGACAGGGGTTGGACTCGATGATCCTTGTGGATCCCTTCCAACTCACAACATTCTATGATTCTATGACCCCAGAACTGAATGCAGTACTATAGGTGGGGTCCCACTAGAGCAGAGTAGAGGGGGAAAATCACTTCCCTTGACCTTCTGGCCATGCTTCTTTTTATGCAGTCCAGGATATTATTTGCTTTCTGGACTGCAATTGCACATTGCTGGTTCATGCCCAATTCTTTCATCCACCAGTGTCCCCAAGTCCTCTGCAGGGCTGCTCTCAATCCATTAATCCCTCAGTCTATGTTTATACTGGGTATTTCCCTGATCCACGTGCAGGAGCTTGCACTTGGCCTTGTGCAACTTCCCAAGGTTGTCAAGGTCAGTCTGGATAGCATCTTTTCCATCTGGCACATCAACTCTACTACTCTTCTTTGTGTTGTTCGCAGACTTGCTAAGGGTGTGCTTAATCCCACTATCTATGTCACTGATTGACATATTAAATAGTATTGGTCCCAATATGGACCCTGAAGGGAGACCACTGGTTTCCACTTGGACATTGAACCATTAACACTAACTCTTAAGGACGTGACCATCCAGCCACTTCCCTATCCATCTAACAGTCCATCCATCAAACCCCTATCTCTCCAATTTAGCAGCAAGAATGTTGTGGGGGGGAGCATATCAAAGGCCTTACAGAAGTCCAGGTAGATGATATCAGTTGCTCTTCCCTTGTCCATTGATGCAGCCACTTCATAGAAAGCCACTAGATTAATCAGGCATGATTTGCCCTTGGTGAGGCCATGTTGGCTGTCACTAATCACCTCTACTGTCTTCCCTGTGTTTTGACACGCCTTCCAGGAGAATCTGTTCCATGATCTTACTGGGCATGGAGGTGAGGCTGATTGGTCAGTAGTTTCCAGGGTTCTCCTTATTACCCTTTTTAAAAATCGATGTGATATTCCCGTTTCTCCAGTCACTGGGGACTTGCTCTGACTGCCTTAATTTTTCAAACATGATGAAAAGTGGCTTAGTGACTACATCTGCCAGTTCCCTCAGGATCCTGTGTTGCAGTTTGTTGAGTCCCATGAACTTGTTTGTGTATGTTAAGGTTCCTCATGTAGTCTCAAACCTGATCTTCTCCTGCAATGAGAAGGACTTCATTCTCCCAATCTCTGCCTTGAGTTTCAGGGACTTGACAGATGTGGGAAGAGTGAGTGCCAGTGAAAACTGAGGGGAATAAAAATTGTTGAGTACATCAGCCTTCTCTGTGCTTGTTTTCACTAGTTCTCCTGTCTTATATATTGAGGGGAGTACCTCTTCCTTTTCTGAGCAACATACCTCTAGAAGTCCTTCTTATCATTCTTCACATTCCTTGCCAAATTCACCTTCAACTGTGCCTTAGCTTTCCTCATTCCATCCCTATGCACCTGGGCAGTGTCCCCGTGTTCTTCCCAGGATACATGACCCTGGTTATACTGCCTGTGCATTTCCTTCTTACACTTTAGTTTGACCAGGAGTTTGACCTTACTGAGACAAACTGGTCTCCTGTCTTCCTTGCCCGATTTCTTACATGTGGGAATTGAGAGCTCTTGTGCTCTAAGAAAAATGAACCTTAAAGAGCTGCCAGCTCTGTTCTGCTCCTTTATCCCTGAGGACAGTTTCCCAGGGGCTCCTGTCTACTAATTCCTTAAACAACTGAAAATTTGTTCTTCTGAAATTCAAGGTCCTGACCCTACTCTTCACCTGGCCTATATCCCTTAAGGTTGTGAATTCCACCAGGGTATGATCACTGCAGCCCAGGCTGCCACCAGTCTTGACTGCTCTTATTAGTTTATCTGTGTTGGTAAGCAAGAAGTCCAGTAATGCTTCTCCTCTGGTTGGGCTGTCTATCATCTGGATTAGGATACACTCCAAGAGTCTTCTGGACTGCCTACAGCTTGCT